AAAATCAAAGGAGTAGTATGAACACTTGCAGTAATATATTGTTTAGTGTACAAACCATGAACAATGAGTTTGCTTCTCACAAGGTGGCAGTGAATAAGACCATATCCAATAAAAATCTAAAGAGAGAATTATCCTAAATAAAATTCATTACAACAGTTAACATTGTGACCCTTTCAAGATATCCATGACTAAAATATTGCCTATTAAAATTTAGTGTATCATAAAATTCTAGAAAAGTGAGAAGACAAAGAATTATTAATAATCAATGGTAATAAATTTGATTAACCTCAAAATATTTGATGAAAAGAAAATCTCTAATCCTCCAAATAAAAATTGTTGTTAGGTCAATAGTTTCAAAATAAATTTATCAAATTAGACAAAAGATAATTTTTCAACTGAAGTAGTAAAGATGCTGCTTTCAAATTTCATTCAAAATAAATATTTTATTGAAAAATACGGGCAGGAGTTTTATTATATTTATATATCAATTAAAAATTGAAAAGAGGTTGAGTTTGAAACTATTAATTTAAGACTGGTTTAACAAGTAGCTAATTTCATTATTGATAAAGAAAGCATTCTACTATTGCTTACAATATTAAAGTCTTTGTTGTTTTATTTGATAATAAATATTTAATATATGTAAAATACCAAATTGATTTTTGATCACCAATGTGAAGCAATATTGAATCTCATTATTAAATGAAGGATACAAATATACAAAAGACAACCGATTCTCAGCCTTATCTTCAAATTTTTTGTCTTAAATAAAGCCAAACAAGTAACAGAAAATACCTGAAACCTTTAATTTCAATCAGTGTCAAAAACAGACATTTAACTGTATACTTAACCTTTGTACTTTAGTGAATTTAGTGTGAAATGGCATTTCTTTTTTATGTTAAAACTTTATTCCCCACTGAAAATTTAAGAATTTGAATAAATGTATTTAATGAAAACACCACACTTCCAACTGAACATTCAAAATTCTACATTAAAATGTTTTTACTGTGTTGATCAAATGAGATCAACAATAATTTTATAAAAACACTGCTATGGAAATATCTACAAATATGAAAATTTGTGAGTAAAAATCAAGCTACCCTCAAATAACTGTATCTATAGATTATTGGCATCAAAGAAATTACTTGTAGAATAGAAAAATAATAATTATGATCATCAAATGTTGGGGTTCTAATTGATAACATCAAAAGCAAATATAAACTGTTTTTATAGGCTGATATAAAAAAATAATATTTAATGTTTGAATAGCCTTATTGTTTGGTAAACTGGGTGTGCAGGTGGTGTAATTGTTAGCAGCTCAGAACAAGAAATTGGTGAACTGAGTTTGAATTCCAGTTGAGTTCATTAATTTTCACACAAATACCCTTGGTATGAATTCATATCTTCTACTACCAGCTATGGATTAAATAGTACTGCAGACTAAGTTCTACTGGCTCAATTGGCAACCAGTCTAAGAGAAGGCCAACTCTGAATTCAAAACTGGTTAGGCATGGATCTAGCAACTCCACCTGTAAAAACTTGCTATAAAAAAACTGCAGCAGCAATGCCTAGTGTAATGAAAGCTGTGGGCCATATACATCTCAGTGGAGTCTATGAGAATTGAATGAGTGAGTTGGTAAAATAATAATATTACAAAAGAAAACAAAAAAATTAGGGTTTATAAAAGTTCAAATTGTAGAAGTTTTAAAATTTTAAAAATAAGAAACATTAATTTGTATATTGGATATAAAAAAATAATAATAAAGTATTAAAGATTGTTATGGTAAAAGAAAAAAAAGGGTAACTCTTATTAAAAGCTGTTTTGAATAGTTAAAAAGATTCTCATTCTTTTGCAACATAAAAATAAAAATTGTAGAGTAATGAATATTGTTTGAAATCATTTAAATAATGTTCTGCTAAGACAATGTAATTCTATTAATTCAAGTTTTCTCAAAGATAAAAAAAATGTTACAATATAAATTTACTAAAAAAGTATTTAAACAGTAGCCTAGGAACTCAAATATTAAAGAGTGTGTGCATATTTCATATATATATATATATAACAGGTAGAGAGAGATGAGAGAGTGTGTATGTGTGTATGAAAGTGTTCAAGAGGAAGAAACAATAGCAAGAAAAAATCTTGACATTTAAATGTCTTATGATCAGAGTAAAAACATGAAATAAGACTGGAAACTAAATATTCTTAGTGTTTAAAGTAATTCCTTTCATAAAAAGATTTGCTTTCATTGAGCTATGACATCAATTTTTTTTTAATAAACTATATATTGAGAGAGAAGAGATGTTTGTTATTAAATACTCGGCCAAAGTCATTTAATAGATGGCTGCAAGTTTTTCAAGAAACTAAATTGAGTACAAGTCCAGTTGTCCAACCTTTTTTTAATGCAACTAAAATTTGATCAAAATTATAAGAGTGCCTGAATTTTCTGATGATAACAACAACAAATTAGATTACATATACCAAGCCAACATTTCAAGAGATTTTTTTTTTCTTTTATATTAAATAGTGCTTTGATTTCCAAATTTAAAAAGATTCTTGGTTTATTTTGCTGATCTTTGCCAATAGTTATGGCCTCTCAGAAAAATTCAACTGTTAGTAGTGCTATCAAATTTACTGTTTGCCTTTTTATCAATTGATGGAACTGAAGACATGGTGAGTGTATAAGTTAGCCAGAAATATTTATATAGTCTAACCTTGTGATCTATGGCATTTGATAATCTAAGCAAATGTTTAATCCAATTGATTCTATAACCATCAGGGTTGGATTGTATGACTTGGACTTGTATTTGGTGATAATGCAGGGGTTTTACAGCAAATTATGAATTGAAAAGTGTATTTGTTAAAACAAAAACTAAAATTACTAAGTAAACAAATAGTGCAATTATTTCCATCTTATTGCCTGGTAGGTTACCTTTCCACATTAATTATCTTTTATTCTTAATGTGTAATAGGAACTTGAAATGCTATCAAACTTATGTATTAAAATTAAGCATCAACACAAACAAATGAAAGAAAACTTCTATAAAGCCAAAATAAACAGATAAGCATTTAATCCAATTTCTAATTGAGAGAATGCTAGTGAAACCATCTCTTAGCATCAAAAATGCTTTGCATATAGAGTGATTTCTATAAAAAGAACACTGAAACTTTTGAATGAACTTTAGCTTTATATTAAAAGAAAAGAACTGAAGACAATTGAAGAAAAAAAATGTAATTTGGAAAATTAAAGATTTTTTTTTCAATATAAATAACAACTGAATAATATTCCTTCTGATAAAATGATCATGACTTGTTTGTTTTTCTTTATTTTAAACAAGAATATAAAAGGTGGGAAGGATTTGAAAACAAAAAAATTAAATAAATAAACTATCATCACTTGCAATTCTGTGTGTTTTGTAGAACTGTTTGTGTTATGATATAATAATGTTCATGTTAAAAGAGGCATGAAGAAAGATCTGCAGCTATAAAAGCATGGTCCACAATATTAACATTGTTAAGCACCAGAGTGGAATAACAGTAAGTACTCATAATCATTGTTAGTGTTCTCAGAACATAAGATCAGGTTGCCATCTGAAATGTCAGATGATATTAAACTTGACAATTTAAGAAAAATTTGGTCAAGCTTTACTAACCCAGCTTTCATTTTTGAAAGATCCAAAATTGCCGAGTATCATCCCTGTACAAATCAGAGTTCAATTAGTTACCATGTGTTGATAACTTTATTGTCACTACAAAAAAGTTGAACAAGGAGTTGATTTTCAAATACTTGACATGAATGGAATAGCAAAGAAAATTTACATTTTGACTTATTCAATGACCTTCCGCTTTAAACATCAACTCTCTTTACAACAGCAATTAATGCTGCGATAATATTTTTATTTCTAAAGTATTTTTTTATAGTCTTCAGTATCATCTATGTTTACACCACTTGTCCTGAATAGATATAAATCTTCTGAGCAGGAAAAATCCAATGGCAGGAGAAAAAAAAATAATTTCAACCTATGTTTGGAGTAGATTTACCATTAATATACTTTCAGGTGTTACCATTAAAGTATCTTTTAATAGTATAGTTAACAAGATTGAAGGGTTAATTTGTAAAAGAGGAATAATGGAAAGAATATCTGGCCCCTATTTGGAGGAAAACTGCTCTGCTGACTGGCCTTGAGTTGATGGAATCATGAAAAGAAATGAGCAATGAATTGGACATGCATCAAAAGATGAATGTAGGAAGGATTATGCAGTTGTTAAATACTGCATAAATCTTGATGTAAAAAGAACTGGGTAATAAAAATAGGTGATAATGAATGTGTAGGGTTCTTTGGGTGTCTGCATTTGTAGCCGTGCATCAGAAAGAAAAACAAAACAAGCAAGCACATTTTCATTTGTCTTGTGTAATGTGAATCTTTTATCTGATGTCGTCCTTAGGTGAGGACACAAAGATCTGAAGAGAGGAGGACCACACTACCAGCACATAACAATGGCACAACCAGAAAGTGAGGACATCTAGAGTGTGACATAGTAGCTGGTTTGTGGGAAAGGGAAAAAAGACAATACAGACCTATGTGTGAATGGTTTGACCAAGGATTTTACTCAGCAATTAAATATATAAACTCTTTACAACCCACAAACTCTTAAATTCCATCTAGAATGTGTAGCACAACTTACACTCCTTGGTTTCTCTTTTGCCCTTATAATTAATTAGGGGCACAGGAATTAATCGGCATAATATACCATGGCAGGAAGTCTGTTCATAGTTGTTTTCTTAGAATAAGAAAAAATGCTTCATGTAGTTATTCTGAATTTTCTTATGTACCTTTGTGAAACCATAAAATAACAGATTGGTTAACTTTGTAGAATAAAATGTAACCATGTTGAATTGGCTAAAAGAAATGAAAGCTAAACCAACAGAATGAATAAAGGTTAATCCAGATGATCAAAATTCATCCAAGTAGGTGACAGAGACAAAGTCTGTTTTAGTTTGTAGTCACAATTCAATATCTTCCACTTTAATATTGGAAGTCCCTAGGAAACTCTTGGCAGCCACAGTTGCCTGCTTGATGGCCACTTTGTATGGACCCCGCTTCTTTTTGTTGTAGCGGAGTTTGAAGTCTTCTAAAAATGGATACAAATCAACACACTGCATATGTGACATGGTGGATGAGCCAAACCACGACACATGAGCCAGCTGTGCTATCACAACTCCATTGTCGCGTGTACTGACAGTGATAGAGAGCACTCGACCAGGCCACCAAGGGAATCCTTGGATTTTGCCCCATACAATGTCCCCAACATGAATGATACGTCCTTCAGAGGTTTCCACTTTTGTTACCGTCTTGGTCTGAATTTTCATCATCAGTGGCTTCAGAGAGTCGGCTGCAGGAGAACGGCTGCCAGGAAACTCTTTTTCAGCATAATCCTCCCCATATTCAGAGTCCGAGTCAGAGACTCCATTGGCAGAGTTCGTATTGAAGCCATCTGTTGACTCCCCTGATGAGTCCGACTTTGTCTCCAGTGAATTATCAAGCAGTGGGTTTTGTGGAGACTTTTCATCATTTTTTAAATCCCCTGCCGATAGTGCATTGTTACCTGAAGTTTCTGATTCTACCCGTGATAGGCCACTGTTGCGTCGCCAGGTGTAAAGCAACCGAGGTCGCTGGTGATCATTCATCTCTGGATCAGCGGCATCTGTTTCAGAGTCATTCTCCTCTTTATTTGCCTTTTCTACAGCCAATGCTGGTAAATTCCGATCAATGTCAGCGCATGCATGTTTATGTTTGTGTTTGCGCTTATGTTTGCGGTGGTGGCCTGAGGAAATTTTATCACCATTTTCTGAGTCTACCCGTTTCAGCTTTTCTTTAGCTTTCTTTAAAGCCTTTTTCAGTCTCTTGTGGGTTGTATAATCCTTGTTTTCAAGTTTCTCATCTGATGATTGATCAGTGTCCACCACTTCAGAGTGGAGGCGAGGTGGAATTTTTAGCACTGTTCCCTCACCAACTGATATTTTTATTATTGGACTAGATTTTACAACAGTCAGTCCTTCAGATTTGAGACTGATATTGGTTTTATTGTCATTAGTAGTAGGCACATACTCCTCTGTTACAGAACCTTTCCTTTTTCGAGACTCACTTCGAGTTTCTGGATGTTCCCCAAGTTTTAAGGGTTCAAGCTGCACCTGGGGTTGGGGTAATGGAAGGGTGATAGGGGAACTCAGATGTCTTGGTGAAGGTGGGGGTTGGTTGAAACGGGGTGGTTTTGGAGAAGGAGGAGGCTGGTTGAAACGTGGCGGCTTGGGAGATGAAGGGGGAGGTAGACTATAGCGTGAATTACCACGTGGGGACATTGGAGGTTGGTTGTAGTGTGGTGGTTTTGGAGATGGTGGTGGCTGGTTATATCGAAGGGGCTTGGGAGATGGCGGCGGTTGGTTATAGCGCGATGGTTTTGGAGAAGGAGGTGGTTGGTTATATCTGGGGTTCTTTGGTGAAGGAGGTGGCTGATTGTAATAGGGGGACCTTGGTGAAGGAGGAGGTTGGTTGTAACGTGTAGCCCTTGGCGAAGGGGGTGGCTGGTTACCACCATGTGTGTGCTGTTTTGGTGAAGGAGGGGGGTGATTATACCTTGCAGGCTTTGGAGATGGAGGTGGCTGATTGTATCGAGATGTTTTAGGAGAAGGCGGCGGGTGTTCATAACGAGGGGTCTTTGGAGATGGAGGAGGTTGACAGTAACGATTGACCACAGAGGAAGACGGGGGTACTTGCTGCTGCAGTTGCTGTTGTTGCTGCCGATTTCGTGTAACCGGTGGAGACCTACTGCGTGTATTGTGGATCAAAGAATGGTTCCGTGTGTTCAGATTGTTGCGTGTGGTCAAGGGTAAGGTGGTTGGGGAAGGAAACGGTGGTGGAGGAGGGGGTGGTGGAGGTGTTGGGACTGGATGAGAAATTCGGGATGGAAGGGAATTTGAAGATGAAGAAGAATATGAAGAAGAAGAGTTGTTGAGAGACGAAAAGGGAGTCTTTGAAATGGAAGAACTTGTTGGGTCTGCATTGTCGTGGCATGCTGATTTGCATTTAGAACACAAAGTTTGACGTGGTCGAAGACGTATACTGCGCACAGTCTTGTCTTTAAAGTGTCTTGTATATGTCCGTTTGGTCAGTGCCACCACCTTTTCGCCAAATTGTGAAAAATCTTGATTGTATGTGTGGCGAAGTGCTGCTGCCGATAACTGAACGTTCTGTTCCCCGCTTTTGACTACACCATCAACACTATTAATATCACTTTTGTTATCGGAGGAGTCGTCTTTTGAGTCATTTTTGAACGGGAAACACACACCATGAGGCAAATTTCTGTAACAAGAAACAAATAAAATCATAATTAAAAATGAAGCCATTACTACTGATCACTCATTGATTAGTATCTCCAACTTTGTGGACTTTCCCGTTTTCCCTGAATACCGGCTCTGTCTTATTATTTTAAATTTATAAACAAAATTTAATTTTACATTAAGGGTTAACTGCTAACGGTGATCTTAACTCATAATAAGTAAATAAACACAAAAAAATAACAACATAATTCTGCTGAAAGACAGACAAACAAGCAATCTCACGAGAAAGTCAGCTGTCGTTGCTTTTTGACAACATTTCGCCTGAATTGACTTTACGCTAGTGAAATTGCTAGCTTACCTTTTATCGGAATCCACTAAAACTCCTCGGTATTTTTTGGCTCCAGCCTCCAAGCATACAATGAGAACATCCTCGATGGCCTCTTCGATAAAAACAGGTAATTTCTGGCCTTTACAAATAGCTTGGTGTTGTCCCCGTCTACCGTCCGCCATTTTCCGAGCGCACAGCCCTTAAGACTTGACGATGCGCATGCGCAGCTAATATTTAAAAACACACACGCACATATATACAAAGGCACACGCATACACACTCAACTTCTATAGCAGGTAAATCCCAATAAAAAATGCAAAATCGCTTTAAATCTAGTTCTCAACTTTAATTCTCTACACTGAAATATTAGCTCTATATTAGAAGATAGCAGCTAGTACTCATACACATTTATAACTTGTCTATAAGTGCTTTTGCATTAAGCCGTATCACCAGTGGAAATATTAAATATTCCATACTTATTGTTCTAAGGGAAATAACTCCAAAAGTTTTTTTTTCATCCATTCCCTTTTCCGTTTCCTTGGTATTAATTTTATTTTGTTCCTTAGTTCAAAAGTATTAAAATTGTTTCTTTTTTAATTATGTAGCATTAATAAAATAATTTTATATGGAAAATTAAACAGTAGCATAAATATCACCTACATAATGCTCTTTTGGTAGTTTAATTATAATTAGAAAACTAATTCCAAACTTTGAATAAAAAAAAAAAAGTAAAATTGAGGAATAGGATACTATTTAAAAATAATCTGACTTTGTTCATGATGTACCATCGTATAATTTTAAGGTAGGATCATCAAAAAAAAACCCCAAAAAACTATAAAAATCAAGGTTCTCTAACTAACTTTGCAATCATTTGTGAATGCTCTGATCCTTGCATTTGAGCACAGTAGTAAGATGCATCTTGTAGGATGGATCTCTATTGGCCCAAGTATAAAATGTTATATCTTGGAATTATTGAAACATGCTTTTACTCAACCATTGGTCCTGGTGACCAGCAACAGTTATACAAGATTAGTACATGTGTTTTTATAGTGAATTTAAACTTGAAACTTCTAACATATATTCTGATATGCTTTTTCTTGATGGCAAAGATAAAATGTTAGGTTTCTTACTGATATACATACAAACATGCAATACACATATACAGACTATAGTTTGTTAAAGTTTAATTTAAATGAATTGTAATAAACTCACAAAGCATATAAACCAAGTTTTGAATTACATGGTAAGGAAAAGCAAAATATTCAATGTACTAAGGATTTAGTCATTCTTGTTTGGTTGCAGGCTATGTCACCTGCTAGGTGTTGTTCTATACAGGACTATAAAAAGAAGGACATAAACCCTCTTTTTTTTTCTTTTTGATTAATCAAAAACAAGATGTAGCAAGTAGATATGTCCAGTGATCCTTTACTGGGGAAGATTTCTTTCCCCAAGCAAACCAATTTCTTAATTTCACTTAACCACATGACACATTTACATCCCAAATACACAAGCACTATAACTAAGCACATAATTTTTTTTTTCCCTGAAAACGTTTATTTTATTATAGTGGATGGTTACAAGCGAGTGGGGAGATAGGATGTGCTTATTTTAATTCCACAATCAGGAACTAGTTGTAACTCTTCCTGCTACAAACTGATGACCAACAGCAATCTCATTTATTACAATTCTGTAGCACCTGTCCACTTCAGTTTCATTAAAACAGAACTTTCTTAATAACAATAATCACTTTTTGGCATAAAGTAACTTATATGTTTTTCAATTTTATATACAACTCTGCTTCATCTTGGATGATCTTTGCAATTGTACTAATATGAAAGAAGGAAACAAGAAACAAAAGTTACCAAAGGAAATAATGTATAATTTTTTGTTTCTATAGTGATCAGTATTTATTCTCTTTCTCTTTCTCTCTCTTGTATACATACAGACATACACACAAAATATGATTTTTTTCATCTATTAAAGTTGTACATGGATAGGCTAAAATTCATTCCAAGTAATATAAAATTATATAATTAAAGAAATTGAAAGTATTTATATATTTTTATTATTTCAAAGAAATTAATAATAAAGATCATTGACTGAAGTTCTATTTAATTTTGTCTCTTACATGTATGTCACTAATACTGATAAATTTTAATTCCTAATTTCCTTTTCTTTGATATGTCATACCCTATTGGAATCCCAATTCCTTAACACAAACAAAAGTATTCACTTTAACATCTACAGCTCATATTACAAAAACAGACCTTAATTTCATACTGCTCCATGCACTCACTTCTGAAGTACTGTCCAAAATTAATAGAGACATAAAACATCAGAAAAGGCTCATGCAGTTTTCACAACAACCATTTCTGGGACACTGACTGACTTTAATGCCAACGCTGATTTCACCCACAATGGCATATCCGACCATGCTGGCAATAGTAACAGACCCCATGGCAGGCAAGTTTAATTAAAACATTAGCAATGATATCAAGGTACTTAAAAACAGAGATGCCTTTAGCCAATGATGAAACCAGCAGCAGCAGAGACTAACTCTTGACTACTACAATGCAATAATTTGTAGAATATTTCTTACATGAGTTTATTTCACTTGACTACATGTGCATGTAGATTTTCTCTATATTTCTATCTTGACTACTACCTTGGGTTATATCCTGAATAAACTCTAAGTCTCTTACAACCAGTCATGGCATCATACCAGTTCACAAAAGTTTGCACAAACTGATTCTTAAAATTATAAAACCTTAGCGAACTCATTGTTGGATTATATGAAAATAATCTTATATATTAATAGCTGATATGTAATAGCTAAAAATATAATTAATACGATTGCTGTAAGTTCTGGGGAGGCTTAAAGAGGGTTTTTTATGATAAACATAATTTATTCTGACAAAAGAAATCACCTTGAAGTTAAAAATATGGCAAATCATCAAGTCATAAATTTGATATGTCTTCCATTGGATCTTCAGGACTGCAACAATTCAGTTTGAATGTGACTAAGAAACTATAACACAGCTGATGACACTAGAGTCAAAGTATCATACTTCTGAACAAAAATATGACAATAACAGAATTTCAATCTGAAAATATCTTAATAAATAAATGTTTTCTATTAAATTATCAAAATGGTTTAATTCTTTTTTATTCTATAAAATGATTTGTTTCTATTCTCAGATTAAAAAAAATATAAGCAGAATAAGTTCCAAAAGATTGCCTGCTTTTATAGAACCGACTCCTGGAAATTTGGGATGCTATTATTGCTTACAACTGATATAAACTGGAACTAACAACAATTGAAACTTGCAATTGCAAGAAATAAAAACTCTTTCATTTATCTCAGCCACATTTTATTTCCATTTGTTATTTTGACCATTATAACCATGCTTATCATGACTTACCCTGATATACTTCTGGATCAGAAAAAGAAACTTTCCAATGCACAATGTTCAGACATATTTTGCAGTTCCACCCATGAAGTAAGTAAAATTTTGAATTTGGTTGTTCCAACTCAGCTCAAAGCTGACTTGAGCTCAACCATTATAACCATTCTTATCATTACTTATCCTAACTTATTTCTGGACCAGAAAAAGAACATGGACATACCCAAAAGATATTGAGAACTTTGTTTTCCTTCAGTTTATATGAAAAACAAAAGGATAAATGGTCCATAGAAACCCAAGTTTTTGATTTTTCTATATTAATTGTTTATATGTGGACACATACACACCTACCATACACAAACATGCAAACTTTAAAATCCACAAAAAAAGGTTTTGTATCACATCCTTGTGGGAGGGTAAGTAAACATATACATTAAAAATCACTGATTTATCATATTTTATTTTAAAAAAAGTAATACTAAATGAGTTACACAGGCTGAAATTAATCTAATACCTTTTCTTTTTTTAATCATTTCACTCCAAGCAAGGTGATAATGCCACTAAAATGCAAGTGATTACAGTGAGGGGAAAAGAATGAGAAGATTTTAGTGAGAAGAAAGGACAGTAAAAGAACAGGATTCAGGAAGACAGAAGATTGTGATTAACATTGCACTTAAATCTTTGAAGATTGTAGTTGGCAGGGAAGCAAGAAACTGGAAGAAAGTTCCATAGGTAAGAAGTGCAAGAAAAAATAACTATTAAAATAGAACTTATAGTTAAGTCTAGCTATTTCAACAGTAAAATGGAGAAACCTAGTAGCCGATCTTGAAGTACAAATTCACACAGTTGAGGCACCAAGGAGGAAAGCTCATTAAAGAAACTACCATGAAAATATTTATAGAAAAGACAGACGGAAGCCATGTCATGGCAGTGGCAAAGTGACTAATTAAATTGTTAAAGCAATTCTCTATCCCTGTAGTGGAGTAAATAAGACACCCCTGGTAACACAAATGAACTAGGCAAGATGCCTTAAATAAAGAACTCAAAGTGAGTTAGAAGAAGTCCTTTGGAGTCAGAGAAAATTCTAGTGATGTCATGGCAAGTAGCCTAAGCAAGACATAATATTATAAAAGCTAGGAGTGTGTTATAACAGTGGAGATGAGAAATTGAAACTCATAGCCAGATCGTAAAAGAGGCATTAACAATAATATTTGCAGTGAATAAATTTCACAAATTTATACACCGAAGGAGTTTTCATTTACAGATGGACCACAGACCTCTATTATCAAGTTATGGTTCAAAAAAAGGAATTCCTATGCATACAGTGAATAGATTACAACACTGAAGTACCATCTTAATTACAATTTCAGAATGGAATACCAAGCATCCAAAAAATTAGGACATGCTGATGGTTTATCAAAATTGATACCAAAAAATACTGAACCATTTGCAGACACTGTTATTGCAGTATTAAAAAGTTAAATAGAAATTAAAAATATATTATGCAATGTAGTACATGAACTACCAGTTACCCTGGAAGAAATAAAAGTAAAAGCAGAAAAAGACATTTTTATTTCAAAAAATGAAGAACGGATCAGAAAAAGGGCACAAAATTTTTCAAAATTGGTGAATAAGTGTTTTTTAGAGTATATAAAAATGGAAATGAAATGTGGGAAGATGGCATAATAAGGTCACAAATTGGAAAAATGATATATGTGGTAAAAGGTAAAATTGGACACACAAAAGGCATTAGAATCAGTTAAAGAAAAGTTTTACTG